GTTTGTTTTTTTTTTTTTTTTTTTTTTTCTCTAAAACATTTTCCTGTAGGGAAAAAGCAATAGCGTGTGGCGAGTGATGCTCCCCTGCCTGCGGAGGTGGCTCCTTTCACTTTCTCTCAACGTATTAGTAGAGCATTTGCCATAATTAGATAAATTACTATTATTACAGCCACCCCTGATGCTATAACATCTTCAACTCTTTTGTTGACCCATCCCAGTGTGAGTGTCTGTAACACATCCCTGCTCCGTCTGACTTGGCGGGTCACCTAGTCTGGTGCGGAAAAATATCATTTTAATAAGGAGAAGACGGTAAAGGGGATTCTTCACTCACAAACCAGTGCTCCCAGTAGCGTGCCTTGTCCTTGCACTGGAAGACCTTCGCGGTCCCTGTCCCTTACTCAGCAATGACCGCGGGCAGCCATCGGTGTGTCACTGGACGTTCAGTGGCAGACACGGAAAGGAAAGTCAAAATCTTCAGTGTTCAATGATAAATTTGCAGAACGGTGGAGGTGTGTTCTGCTGAAGAGAAACTGAAACGCTGAGAAGTTGTGACAGCAAGAGTTACCCAACGGAGGTGTCAGCTGCTGTCGGTATTTGTTGTTCCCTCCCAAAGAGTTAAACTCCGGGGGGACATAAGTCTAAAAACACAGCAAGAGTGAGACAGTAAGGGATTCAGACAAAATGACTTCAGAAAAATGTTTAGGAGCATATGGGAACTATTACTGCAGGAGACCGAAGCGGAATGTAAATGAATGCAAGAGATACCCCAACCTTTTTTTTTCTGTAGGAATGAGGTGATTGAGGGGTGCAGAGAAAAAACAGGAAGGTTAAGATTAAAATAAACAGTGAAGAACTGATCTGTTGTCCCAGGGTGGCATTTCCTCTGCTTAAACTGTCTCTTATCATACGGGAGGAGGCCTGTGCTGCCCGGGCAGATGCTGCCCGGGGCTTTCTGCCGACACGGTCTGCCTGCCATGTGCTTCTAATACGAGGATCTTTAGCATAACAGAGAAAGAACAATAATTTTATTCCCTTAATAGTGCAAATATCACTTTTATCAATAGGAATGGACTCTTGGATTACTTTCTCACACATGAAAAAATTGGCTTCTGCGAGCCCTGCGGGGTAGATTCTTGGCAGGGGCAGCGTCGCCGCTCCAGTCGAGCGCAGAGCTGGCCGTGCCCTCGGGGGTCCTCGTGCAGCGCAGCGGGTGACATGCTCTGTGACAGCGGGTGACACGCTCTGTGACAGCGGGTGACACACTCCTGACGGGGCGAGGACGGCCGGGCCGGCTGAGGAGGCAGCCCCTGAGCTGAGGCAGGGTCCGAGCGCTCCGGTCGCGATACGCAGCGCGTCGCTGGGCAGAAGCCTGGGTTCGCTGTGGGTGCTATACAGCTTTGAGTTTGGAATGGTTTTCCTCTCCTCGGCTGGAAATGAAACGACAGGTAGAAATTGGCTTGTGTTCCCAGAAAATCTCTCTCTATTACCAGGATGCCCTAAAGGATTTTTTGGGAAACAATGCAGGAAAAAGTGCAACTGTGCCAATCGGGGTCGTTGCCATCGGATTTACGGAGCCTGTCTGTGCGATCCGGGCCTGTACGGACGGTTCTGCCATTTAGGTATGCCCGTCCTCCGCCTTTTCACGAGAGATTCGTTATTCCCAGATTACAGCCCTTCTAGGTCCCGTCCCTGGGAAGGGCCAGCGCCGGGTGGCAGTGTCCACCCTTGCCCCACGTCGTTGAGCCCCGCGGGTCACTGACCGGCTCCTTCCCTCTGCCTCCAGTTTGCCCCAAGTGGGCGTTTGGCCCCGGCTGCTCCGAGGAGTGCCGCTGCGTGCAGCAGAACACGCAGGACTGCGACAAGAGGGACGGCTCCTGCCGATGCAAACCCGGCTACCGCGGCAAGCGCTGCGAGACGCGTGAGTTGCCGAGGAGTATTCGCGGAGCGTCTCCCTTTCCCCTCCTGCAGCCTCTTTCCCCCTCACCCGTTTTCTTGGAGAAAAGCTCGGCTCACTTTCCACCCCCCCCCCCCCCCC